TTTCTTTATTATTCAGGTTCCTAGGGTCTGGAACAGACTCTCCCTGGAGGTGGTACAGTCACCTACCCTGGAGATCTTCAAAAAATGACTTGATGAGCACCTCGCTGGGGTCATCTCTTGAAGTCCCTTCCAGCCCCCTAACAACTATGAATATTACAAACCTAAAGACCAACACCTTCAATTTATTTATTAGCAATATATATATTTGTTGACCCTTAAACTGGCAAATACGGTACTACACCCTTTCTTCATTAGACTAAAATTGAAGGGCTTGACCTGCAAGCATTTATTGCCAGGTGTAGTGCTTATTATGTAGTACTTATTACCATGGGTGATCCTATCCAAATCAGTAAGATGGTAGTAGGTACAGTGACATAAAGCCCAACAAAGTATAGGTCTCTGGCATAGCAATGGAGTTGATTAGAGAGCATGAATTACGTAGGTATAAAATCATAGCTTGAACTGTCAGCTTATGAGAGTGACTGGCACAGTGCCTGGAAGTGAATGAGATTTATACCAAAGGGGGAATGGGATTCATGAAATCAGGGTATATCTTGACACGTAGATTTGTGCACATGAGCATTTAGAAAGAAGTCGGATGAACTTGATTATTTTCTAATATTATTATTTATCTATTTATTTAGGTTTTTTATGGGTCACAGTTACCAAGCTTAAGGTCTAGAGGAGTAGTTTGCAACCTTGTTTTAAATCAACCCCCTTCTTGGAAAATGCCAGATTTTAGCTTTTGCCCATTTTTTTTTTTTGATGATGGCAAAAGGCTAGAGCAATTTTTCTGTTGCAAAGTACTCGGAAAGACTGGTCAGAACGGTGTCGAGGCTGAGAGCTCCCATTTGAAATCTCTCGGCTTATCTTGTGAATCATGCGTAACTGGTCGCACCTCATGGCATCCTGGTTGAGTATTGTCTGTAACATGCCGGGTTTCTTCTGCATTCAGTTTGGAAGTACTGCTCCTTAAAGGCATGAAAGACAAAGCAGAGCATGTAGTAACATGAAGAATGCGAGGTAGAGGAGGGAGAGTAGGCAGGAAAAAAAATGCATCGTGGGTTATAAGAGTAAGGCATGGACAGGAGGACCAGGAGGGGTTGGAGATGGGTGCAAGGAGACCAGGCAAACAAACAATGGCGCAAGCATCTGATTCAGTTCCAAGCAGTATGCTCTGCACATGCTTCTGATGCTCCAGTTTGTGATATGGAGAGAATCATCTGCAGACAAAGAGGATTTTATTTTCCCTACTCCAAAGATGGCCTTGTTTTCCCTTTTATCTTGCGTGTGTTGTCATCCTCCCCTTTGTAGTGGTGCAAGCTGATTTTTCCTAAGGCGTGATGTTGCCAAGGAGAATCACTCGGCAGCATGCGGTAATTAAAACCTTTGGAGGTCATGCATATTTTAATTATTACTTATTTTAATGTCAAAAGCCTGCCCACATGAGACAGAATCTTGCATTCCATGAGGGCCCGAAATAAGGGCCAACACATTCCTTTAGAGCCCCAAATATTAAACACACATTAGTTTGTTTTTGAGCCTTGTACATTTTAGATGCACATAAATCAAATGGTTTAATGGGAAAAAAATCTCCTCCATATGTTGGAAAGTTGAATCAAGGCACTAGCTTGAAGTGATAAAAAGTGGCAGCTGCAATAGAAAATGATTAAATGATTTGTTTAGCATTTATGTAGTGTATAAATGCACCTTGTCTCTGTTACAGCAGCGTTACGGCTGGGTTTCTGCTAGCGAGAGCGCGGAGTTTTTGCTTGATTCCCTGTTGGGATTCGGAAGGTCTCAGGTTCCGATTTACCCAGTCGCAATGTCTAAGCACAATCAAGTTTTTCATTAGGAAAATGAAAATTAAATAACACTGGGTGGGAGTAGACAAAACAAGACGATTCACAGACTAACCAGGAACAGCAAGCTTTGAAAATTACCTGCTAAAGAAAAGGGAGGGGGGGAATAAAATAAAGTAGTTTCAGGAATGAAAATCCGTTCCTGTGCTTCCTGCTTTCTTTGTTCTGCTAACCAAGGTAGGATTGGATTTCTCCTGCCAAAAAGGAATAGCATTTGGAGACTGTTGTTTTGTTCTGTTCTGTTGTGGTCTGGGGAAAATGATGGAATAGAAAGACTTGGAATAGCTTTTTCCAAACTACTGACTGTTTGTCAAGCAGCTAAATCCAGTTATTGTGATTCATGCATACTGCAGAAACACTCGCAGACCCCAACAGAGATTGGGGTCACATTGCATTAGATGCTGTACACAAGTACATACATGCTGTGTACAAGACAAATACATAGTTGGAGACGGGCCTTGCTTCAGAGCATACTAAGTAGGCAACATGGGCGAAGAGGAAACAAGGCTTGCAAAGTTCATACGGGAGATGAAGAGTATTGCTGGGAAGAGCACAGCAATAGTGTTGAGAGCCCTGTATCAGTCTCCTGGCCTCCGAGACTAGTACTTAAGACCAGGATCTATATTAGGGTTAAGGTTATAAATATATTGGTGGCATTTCATTTAATCACAGAAAAACATGGATTTGGGATTACTTTTTTTAATCTGAAAATTGGGGATTTTTTTTGTTTTTTATTGGAGAAAACCTGTTGTTAGTATGAGAAATTGCAGCCCAGGCAACAGCTACTACACGTACATTAGGCCTTAGACAAATCCTGGTTTGTGTGATACTCCTCTGCAGGGAAGCAAGGAGAAAGACAGCATTTTTTAACTTCTCCAAGCTTTTCAGGGTGCTTCAAAATCATTGCAGCTACAGTTCTCAGTGACAATAATCTAGCATTTTAAATGGAGGTTATGTGCCTAACTGGCAAAGGAACTAGGAATTGATCTGTATCTTTAGGCACTCACATGATTACCATTGGAAATCTGGCCCTGAGAGCATGAGTGGAGGGGCACAATGATTGTAACTATGCCGAAACTCTTATTGTTGCTCGGTACTGTTCCTGGAGTGCTTTCCACTTTAGTATCTGCTGGTGTTTCTGATCCCTCATGAGGACATTGGGGGCATGTCCAGAGGAGCATGCACATGCACTTTGTGGTGCCTCAAAAGGCATTTGAAGCACCACAAAATGCACACAGCGCACATAAAAAGGTTCTCCTCGCTATATAACTGCAAAGCCAAAATTAGATACTAGGAAATCCTAGTATCAAAAAAAAAAAAAAAAAGTCTAAACCCCCCCCCAGGAGGGGGCATATAGCTGCAGCATGTCCTGCCCGAAACTGGAGCCTGGCTGGCCAGAGCCACACTCCTGCTGCCAGCCAGGCTCTGAGCACCCAGATTGCTGCTGCTGCAGTCATGGGCGGCTCCTAGGACCTCAGGTAAGGCTGCCGGCCAACCTTCCACCACCTGGTGCAATTTGCAGCGTGCCAGGGTGCACATGCAGAGGCATTCCCTAGGGACAAGTAGCAGCGGCACAAATATGTGCCTCTGGTATTTGTCCCCAGGGAAACCTATGTGCACACTCATCTGGACGTGCCCTGGGAGGGCACGGGTTGTTATGGGCATGGGACCAGTGTTTTCAAACTCAGATGCTGAAAACTAAGCATCTATTTCTGAGTCCTCCACCTAATTTGCAGGCACCTCGATGCCAACAGGGGAAACGAGTGCTCAGAGTCTATCATTATCAGAATATTCCAAGACCCAAGGATGGTTTGAGGAGCATGCTTTTAAAGCACCTAATTCTGAAAGTTTGGCTCACTTTTAGCTATCATCTACTGTCTCCTGAATCCTCCTTTCAGAGGATCATTTTGCTCCACTCTACTTTCAGGAACATTGCTAACCCTTCCTGGTTTTCCCCAGCTTCCCCCTCCGCCCCCA